CCCCCCCCCCCCCCCCCCCTCCCTTTTTACTCTTTAGTCTTGCAGTGATGGGTATATTTCTTTGCATGATGCTCCGGCGCATCTGATCGAGTAAAATTACCTTAGGAGATTTTTACCATTGCCCCTCTTTCATATTTTAGGATGTAACTGTTTGGCCCACTTCCCTCCCGGAAGGCAACATCCAGGTTGGCTGGCGTTACAAATTCCGCGACCACGTCACTGTGGACTGCACCAAGATGCTGATCGGCGCATGCGCCAATTTGAAGCCATCTTGTGAGATCTGCGCCTATTGGAACTCGGGTGTCATTCTGAAAGTTGGTCCCGTGACTGTGAGAATGTCACGTGACGACTCGACTCTAGACGTGATTGGTCGGTGTAAAGTCACCAATGGCAGTAAGCAGGCTCTGAACATGATGTGGTTTGTTTTGGCGAAGTTTTTCTATGGCATTGAAACCTTGTTGATGAATTTCAAGGGGATTTGTCCTATGGTAAGAGAGTGCGATTTTGAGATTGAAACATAAATTCCTATTACTTGTTGCCATAGAGTTCTTTCATGGTAAGTCTGAGAATTTAGAAGACTTTCTAAAAGTCCTTTCCAGAGATGAATAAGCGAAGGGTTAAGCAAAGATCGACTTGTGGCAAGTCTAAGAATTTAGTAATAATAATAAAAAATAATAATCACTTTATTTAAGTGGCGATGTATTTAGCGCTAATGTGCTAATTGGGGACACTGTAAATAAATAAACAAATTATTTCAAATATAACATAAACTATTAAGAATCCCAACTGGTGGGAGGCTGACCAGTTGGCTATTTACACAACGCGGTCGAGGAGTTGAACTCGGGGCTACCGAGAACAAATCCAGATAGCGGTAGGGCGGAGGATTTGAACCAGGGACCTCCAGATTTCAAATCCAGTGCCCTAAACCACTCGGCCACGCCGCCTCCCTTATCAAACAAGTTGACGATAAAACAGGTTTCATTTGTTTCTCCACTAATCTAAAAACACCAAGCGTTCTGCGATTGGTCGGAGAACGTCTCGCGAATTTTTTAGACCAATCGTAGGGCTCTGTAAATACAACGTAAAGTGAAAAACACGGTCAGTTGTAAAATGAAGAATTTTTTTTTCACAGGTGATTGTGCCCATTATCGGCTGCAACAGACCGAAGCACAAACCACTGTACGAGCTTGTAAGTGACTACAATTCACAACTGAGCCATCATACCAACTACCGCTGGTTTATACCGCCCGCAGGTCAGTTGTACAACTTGTCTTGCGCATGCGCAGCAATGTCTACGTCCTGGTAAACTTCTCAAAGTATCTCCTTCCCTTTGCCACCGCCAAATAGGCCCCCGAATTTCTGACACAAAAAGCAGTTTGTAACTCCCCAGTTTTTAAGCCTAGTTACTCAAGGCCCGCCTTAGCGTTTCTCTTGTACTATTTGTTACAGTATGTTCAGCGAATTTTAATGGTACTGTAATAATTGTAGAGCTTGCTACATTATTCATATCTTTCTTAGGGTGTTTTATAAGATAAGCGCCACCTCTTTCACCCCAGCTAACTTTCCCTGGGTCTCCAACGATGTTTTCGGGTGGAGGACCGATTTTGGAAAAAAAAAAAACCGCCTTAGTTACAAACCATGGAAAGGTCATTTTTAGCAGATGTCTCTGGTAAATGACTAGCACTCTTGCATTCACTAGGCCTAATCAAACTATCCAAGAGACCTTAATAGAATAAAGTACTTTTGTATGTATTTTTCAGCTTTGGACGCGGACGAACACACAGAGATTCCTGCGGATACTGTCAATTGGCTCGCTAATATCGCACGTGAGTATCTTCTTTGCCAGAGAGAAATTTAGAAATTAATTTATTTTTTGGCAAGTTTAAACTGCAATCCCACACAAAAAAATTAGGACACGAAGCAACTTCTCTCCCCCACCCCCCCCCCCCCCTCTTACAATGTTGATAATCAGGTGATTTTGTTTCCCTTTTTGTTGAGAAAAACCCGACATTTTCCTACATTGATTAGGGGGAATGGGGAATGCGTGACCCATCTCAACTTTCCGAACTACTTTGTTCGGGATTGTGGGCCACTTATAGCTTCAAAAAAGACAGAAAAATAGATAAAAGATACAAATGTGTCTCTCATCAAGTGGTGTGCTGTCAAGTCATCCTTTTTGTGTAAAATGTTTGCCTGTAGGTATTGTTGCGTTGGTTAATTTTTTGAGTATTGTTGCGTATCTGGCCACCATCTTGGACTTGCGAATCGTGGCAGGCTAGAATGATTCAGTCAGTCAGCCTCACTTCTACTCGCTAGAGTGCTTTTTCCTCTCTGCTTAAACCACTCCTGTTCTCCGAATCCAAAATGGCGCTCGCCCGATCGAAATGTTCTTTGCTCCCTCGCTAAAATACGTCAAGCATACCTCTTGCGCGGAGGAAGATTTGAACAGGCTGGAAGAGTTGCCTTCCTTCAGGGGTTATGCCATCAGGTCGTATTGACTCGCGCTTGTGATGTTTACCTCCAGGTAAATCCTTGTTGTATATTAGTTATCACCCGGACCAACAGCACGAGGTCAAACTACTGAAACAGTTTTTGGACTTGGCCGGATTCGACTGCCTGGGAGACTGGATACTAGCTGGTAAAACAGGTCAAGAGCTGAGTGAAAGGCGTCGAGATATCATCACGGGATCTTCGTTATTCGTAGCGTTTATCACGCCACAGTAAGTATACAGATGACTTTGAAAAGTCTGTTTTTTCTGACTGGAACAACTTGTAGTTTACCCAGTCATCAGCCGAATTTTGTGGTTTTAATCTGTCCAAACAGCCGAGGCTATCTATTTTTTGTCTCGTACTTTCCATTGCAGACTTTTTGCGACGAAAACTTGCAGTACGAATTGTTTTCCACGACTGTTTCTAGCTCTAGGAAGGTGGTGCATAAACTAAGGCCTTGTCCACATTACGCCGGAGGAAGTTGAAAACGCAGCTTTATTTCTACTGTTAGGCCTACCGTCCACACTAATCGTCACGCAAACGCTCTTCGAACCGGACAGATTTGAAAACGCCGGCTTTTCGTTTTCGTGTGGACCAAAAGCATTCTGAAAACGGAACTTTTAGAAAACGATGGCACCACGATAATCATGTGATTTCCCAGACCGGGTTTTTCTAAAAAACAACTACGAAATGACCGGTGATTGTTGCGTTTTTAAATTCCTCCGGCGTAGTGTGGATGAGAAACATTTGATGCGTTTTCAGACTAAACCTCCGTTTTCAAATTCCTCCGGCATAGTGTGGACGGGGACTAAGAACAAACCACTTGCTCATGACATGAACTAAACCGACAACCATACTTCAAATCACGCCTTAATGAAGTACAATACTTAAGAACGAACAAGTCCTTCTAGTAAATTTTATAATTATCAATAGTTATAAAGGGTAAATAAAAATTGTGAAGCACGTATACGTAGCTGCAACTTGGTTCAAAGATTTTGAGACGCTCAAAAGTTAGCTAAGAAAAGCGGCGGTCTCATTCATTCCACGTTTTGCACAAGTTGAAATTTAAAAAAAAAAAAATCCAGTGTGTTGATTTCCATTAGCGAAAATTCATCGTTACTCTTTCGAGTTCTTTCCAAAATTTGTTTTCCTTTGAATTTACGTCGTTCAGAGTGGACAATATACGAACTGCGAGTGAAAGAATTGAACTCAGAGAAACATTTACAGGGTTGTCACAGGTCAGGAAATGGTCAGGGAAAAAAATTCATCAAAGTCAGGGAAAAGTCAGGGAAAATTAAAATAATTTAATAGGGCTGATTTAATACGATTGAAGGCTGGAAGAAACGTTTGGGGTCAGTGTGATCTCAACGATATTTCTCCTCAATGAGAAAGGAAAATTTGTTGAAAATTATCACTCTTAATGAACGAGTGGAAGAAGAAGCCTCTACTAGACCTGACATTTTGCTTTTTCTTTGGTCAGGGAAATTTTGTTTTTATCAGGGAAAAGTCAGGGAATTTTGGAAATGAATGTCTGTGGCAACCATTATTTATTTTCGCGGCTACCCGAAAAATGAAACTGACAAAAGCCCGCAAAGACGTGGGCACGATTTTCTGTGGACCAATTAGCACTTGGAATTGTCGTGACGTAAGGAACCCAGCTTTTCTCTGGCTTGCGTGCGCAGCTTCCACGTCACAAACAGCATTTGGTAGAAGATTAAACGATTTTTAAGGGCTATATCCTCGAATTCTTGGCAATTTTACCTTCGTTAAGTGTAAATTGAAGTACTCAATCAAGCTATTAGTTCATTTTATTGACAATCATTACACAGCTGAAAAGAATTGGCGCTTTTTGTTCTGGTTTGGGTTCCCAAGTTGAGCGGGGTTTGTTTCGATCGACGTTTGCAGGTGTTTAAATAGTGTTAAATGTCGGAATAAATTATCTCCTCTGCAGCGATTCGTTTAGCAAAACCTACTTTCTGACTTCTAATAACGCTTGTTTTGTCTGCTGCAGTTAGCCATCCATTAGTGCTTTTTGTTATAACTACGCAGCTATTGTAAGTTTGTAAACCTCTTGTTTTCTATCTTGTGCGTAATAACTTGTTATTCGTATGCAAATGTGGCATCTCGATTGAAGTGGAAACACACAAGAGAGTGTTTTTAATTTAGCTCTCTCCTCCTTCAAGCTTGGTTTATTGCGCTCTTGCAGGCGGACGCACGAAACAACCTGTGCTAAAATAAGGCCTTTAACTGTTCAGTGAGAGTCGTTCTTTCTGTGAACAGAAAAGTAAGTATTCGACCTTCGTCTTCGAAGCGAAAGGATTATCATACAAGGATGAATTAGGTACTGTTCATTTTAAGCCATTTTCGGCTTGTTTACTTTCGCATGTTGATTTTCGTGGCATTGTAACGAAGTTGTTAAATTTACGGCTAAGATAAAACCGCGTCGTACGTGTTTCTATATTAGCACAAGAAAGGCTGTTTATAGGCAGTGACATTTTTTTATGGTTTANAAGCTCACCTCGCAATCGAGTCATCTCAAATTGGCTCGTTTCTCGACGAAGGGGAAAATCTTCTTTAACAGGAAGAAAGACCAAAGAAACAGAACATCGGAAAAATCACTGACGATACAAGAAGATCAGCCGCTTTCATCACGGTAACTACACACAATTTAACAATTCTAATATTCATCGGTTGTTGTAGGAAGCCATAGGAAGCCATAGGAAGCAGACAATCTGTCCAAGTGACTTTAGAACAGCAAATTTCACGCAAAACTATTTCAATTCGCTAATCGTTCGAACGAGTTCCCGGGAACGTGCTGGACACAATGACCTGTTTGTAGAGTATCAATCGAAGCCACCGAAATCTTTCATTGCGATCGTCTGTTTTCAAAATGCGAGCTGCGGCCAATTTTCTTGTGGTGTTTTTTAGATTTTCATGCGAAACATCTAATCGACATTTCTGAAAACTTTTTACGCACATTTTGAACGTGCCGGAAAATCTCAGATACTATTTAACACTGCGCTGTAACACTTTTTGCTGTCGACTTCGTGGTGAACATGGCGGCGGTGTAAAGCGAACTAATTTATGTCTTTTAATCCTGTCTTTCGATATTATTTCGTTATCAAAAATAAAGCCACCATGTCGAAGTTCTAGTTTTACTTTTCTTGACACCGAGTATTTTTGGCGATCGATGCGTGCTTTTAGCATTGTTTTTAGTGACAGATCAAGTGTAAATAGTAGTTGCCAAGGGGTCATTGTATGGTAAAGACATATAATTTCGTATTTTGTCCCGTTGGTTTTTTTGTTTGAATTATTATAACTTGGGCAACCTTTTTTAATCGAGGTGAAGGACTAAATAGAAGTGATAATTATATTCATGTGGGGGATGAATTTGAAATGTCATAGATTTGAAATAAGAGTCGATTTGCCATACTTTGTTGTAAGGTTTTATTTTCACGAGCCTAGCAGCGCGGTTTTTTTTTCTTTGCGGTCAACGTTACGTAGGTCCGCTTTCAAAAAATTGTTTTTTTACCAGTCGGCTTTGCTCCAAAGACTGTTACGCTACTGAATTGAACGAATGTGTGGTGGAGACATTTGTCAAATGCGTATTATTCAGCTTTCATTTTATCTGTTATCCTTGAAAAATGCGCTCCGGCTTTGACCTTATGTTTTGACAACGATAAGGAATAATTAATCGTGAAATTTCTCAGTCTTTTGTGATCGATGAGACTTCGGAATAGATTTGCGCCAATTTTGAGCTTCTGATAACCGTAAATATTATTCATTGAACTGATTTAGGATTTTAAACGGAGCTTTTAGCAAACGCTCTTCAAACCGGAAGAAATTGAAAACGCCGACCTTTCGTGTGGACAGAAAATATTTTGAACACGGAGCTTTTATTCGAAGACGATGGCTTCGCGATCGTGATGTGATTTCCCTGGGCGAGTTTTCCTCGAACACAAATCCAAAATGGCCGAGGATTTTTGCTTGTCTAAATTACTCCGGCGTAGTGTGGACGGAAACATTTGATGCGTTTTCAGAGTAAAACTTCCGTTTTCAAATGTCTCCCGTGTAGTGTGGACGGGGCTTAAAATTCAGTGTCTTTTGGGAACATTCTTGACAAATGCCTGCTGCTGTTTATCCTAACGGGATGTCACGGCACATTGCGAAGCAAACTGCGATTTTCTGTTCCGTCTTGCTGTGCAGACTGTTTTTGTTTTGTTTTTTTGACTGAAGAATTTTTAAAATATCGTTTGCCAAGTTTTAAGTATGGAACCCCGCTAGTTCACCAGTTCTGTCCTCTCAGGGGGGTTATTATGTTCACAGGATGTTTTGAAGACCTGTTTGACCTGTGTGGTAAGCAGTAAATCTGTCGATGCTTAACTCGAAATGTTAATTCCCCAGAACTTTTACTGAGTAACCTTTTTGGGAATTTGTTGGTGCTTGAAGGTAGTCTCTTAATTGATGAATTTATTGTTACTTATCACCCCTTTGCCTGCCAGTGTATTGACATGGTAAGGAGAATCTGGATGTCGATACTTGCTCTTTTTACGTCGCGAGATCTTTATCAGTTTGTGATGGCTTTACTTGATGGTTCAGTGGTCGTATCGACCGTCGGCGCTTTCTTTGTGAAGCAGGGAATAATAGGCCAGCCTTTTCACACTGCGCCATTGTCTGAAGCACTCGTGACTTGTTGATTCCCTGCCGTGTGTATGACCTCCCTCCGTCCGCTAGTACAGAATAACCCCGAAGATTTCCGGAACGCTCGTGGAGTGCTCTCCGGAGTTTACGAGTTTCAATCGGAACGTTCGAGTGCTTCACGACGATTTCACGATAACTGGCCCCCCGGGTGTTCACCTGATTCTAGGATGACTTTCATACCGGTAGACGTTCATCCCAGTTCCCTGTAATGCTTTACACCATGCCAGCATTAAGAAATTCCAACCAGTGTTGGGTGAGGATGAACGACTAGCCATGCCGATCTTGAAACAGAAACCTGGTATACTGCCCCAGAAATTAAAACTGTTGTATAATTTCAGATATCTGGACTGGTCGCGTGCTGTACAGGATGTGAACACAGCTCTGTCCCAAACCAAGCCACTTGTCTCGGTTCTGTTTGATAAATCCACTTGGCACCCTGAGGGGCATGAATTAGGGGCCCTGCTGAAGAGTCACGGAGTGTGCCTAGATTTGAGCGCCGGTTCTGGAAGTGCTCTCTCGCACCAGTACGATCAGGGACAAGTCAACGAACTTATCAGCTACTGTTACGGTGCTTTGTACGGGACTGGGGACATACACCCCCCTGAGCCACCCCGGACACCGGAACACGAGACACAGGTAAGATCACGTGCCTTGTCACGTGCTTTGTCACGTGCCTTGTTAAAAACGTTATTGCTTATGATGCATATTTTCAAAATTATTTTTCGCAATCTTTTATCAGCTTTGTACAGCTTTATCTAAAACTGTAAAAAAAGAAAGAAATCATTCTTAATCTCATCAATCTTTGTTCATCTTTTTG